TTACATATTTTTTGTAATATTGTGCTTCATGCATGTACATTGTGCTTTATAAAATCTTTCATTTGCCTTGTATTACATTCATGTGTATTGTGGGAGTTTCCCCCCTCCTAACAGTCATCCTACTAATAAATACATTCATGAAAACCAGCTACTTCAGGCCTCGTGCCTTAATGTCCATCCCCATTTTAGATAGCAAATTTCTGATTAGCCCATCCCTTTCAAACCAGTCCTCTGAGGGAACAAGCATATCCCTTTTGCGGGAGGATTTCTGTTTGATTTGGAAACTTTGAGCCTCTGCATCCACAAGCAACGTCTAGTCCAGAGCAAGCCATCAGGTTGTAGGAATCAACACTAGCTCACGGATTCTGGGCAACTCAGCCCTGGCCATCTGTGGGTAGGTTCAAATGCAGCAGCCACAAACTTTGGACTCCACACTTCTCCCTGCATTCCAGACCTGTTGGTCTCTTCACTTAGGCTTAGCCCACACAGGGGGTTGAGCACAACAACAAGCTTTGATTGAACTGAATTAAGGAAGATCAAAGAAGAAGCAATGTCTTTGAATTGTGGTGCTGGGAAAGACTATTGGATATGCCGTGAACTGCCCGAAGAACAAATAAATCAGTCTTGGAAGAAACACAGCCAGAATGATTTTCAGAAACAAGAATGATAAAGCTTTACCTTATATACTTTGAATAGGATGTTAAGAAGGATGTCGTACCTGGTTAGCAAAACAAAGAATACCTGCAAGGAGGTGGACTGACACAGTGACTGCAGCAATGAATTTAAACAGAAGAGTGGTTGTGAAGGTGGCTCAGGATTGAGTAGTGGTTTGTTCTGCTGTACACAGCGTAGCCAGGAGTCAGGGCAAACAATAGCAAGTGCCCAGTAACAAAGTAAACTCTGCTTCCATTCACAAGCCTTAAATCTCTTAAGAGGGAGCCAAGCTTTAACTTCTACTTTTAAATCCTACAGCCTCTTCATCAGGAGTTAAACTAAACCTGACTCTCTGAAGAGAAAAATTAGCAAACTTTCTAACTGGCTTTTTCTGTTGTGAGCAGTTATTGGTTGGCTTTTAGGCTGTGAGACTTACTATTTTTCGCTTACTATGTCGCTCTGAAAATTGAAAAGATTGCTATTTACTTAAGCTTGTATGTCTATGAAAGTCAGTAAAAACCAGTTACTGTCAATTTGACCCCCAATCCATGTGTGTCTAAACAGAACTGTGTTGTGCAGTTTTCAGTGGTTGGTTTTTCCAGAAGTAGATCACCAGGCATGCTTTCTGAAACACCTTGAGGTGGGATCACATTTTCAGATTCTTGATTAGCAGCTGTACGCATCAATCCTTTGTATTGAAAAAAAAATCCTTTGTATTGCTCAGAGGTTCCAAACCTGGAAGTTGGGAAGACTTATTTACTCACAGGTGCCATGAAAGAGAGGCCTGGAAATGTCTCCAGAAAATCCACCTATTGAAAATCTGTGGAGCACGCTTCTATTCTGACAAAAAAGGGATGGACAATTGGGATTATGATCATGGATTTTGAGATTAGAATTTACAACTCTTATTTAAAAACACAGTAGTGTAGAGTTGGTATCAGCTCACAGCTTACCCTCTGTGGGATTTTGGTGACTGTAGACTGCACAGGAGGAGATTGCCCATTTTCCTCCCTCAGCATGCTGGTACTTGCAAATTGCCAGAAAGGTGTCACCTTTGGGTTGGCAGCACGACTCCCTGTGGACTGTGGACTCTGCCACTGCAATGCAATCTGCAACGTTCCACTCTTTGCCTTTCCCCCAAATTCACATGCCTCTCACATGCAAAACATATGCCATCACATCATCCCACAAGTTTGACATAAACTCCAAGTCCAAAATCACATTTTCTGAAATTGTCTTGATTGGAACAAAATTTCTCATTTGTCAGCCTGTGAAATTGAGAATAAATATTATCTCCAAAGCACAATGATATGATATAGGCACAAGACAGACATTTCCATTACAAATGGGAGACATTAGAGGGAAAGAAAGGATAATGGGCACCAAGCATAGCCAACCCAGCAGAACAAATGCTCTCATATCTCAAGGCTTGAAAAGAATTCTCTGTTCTCTGTGTGTCTCTAATATAAAATATTGGTTTAAAAAAGTTTATTTAGGCCCAAAAGAACCTCCAGCATGATCCCAAGCCTCTTATTTCTGTGTAGAACAACTAGTTAAATGCTTATCTACTAACTGAAAAATTGATGGTCTGAATCCACTCACGAGTAGAAGCAAGAAAGCCCTACCAATCAACTTACGAAAGGCCATAATCATTGAAAATCCTATCAAGTGAAGTTTTAATCTTGTTACTCAGGGGGTCACCTTGAATTAGAATCAAGTTGATAGCAAGTGACTTGGTTGTTTTGTCAGTGTTGTAGTTTAGGAGACAAATTTGCCCAATACGTTTGTGACTGACATGCTAGGAAGGAACTCAAAACTCAGAACCAAAGCTTCTTGCAAGCGAGTGGGTACTGACTCATAGCTGAACCTCTAACAGATTCTCAGAAGCTGTAAATGACACAGGGGGAGACTGTCCATCTTTTTCCCACAGGTGGTTGTAACTACCCACCTTTGGGTTGGCCCTGCAACTCTCTACCAGCTAGGCTATCAAAGTTCCCTAGATTGGAGTGAGTTGCTAATGGGATGGTCCGAGCATCTGGCCTTGAGTGAGAAGTTGTTATGAAATTGAGCTCTGTTTGTGAAACCCTCTCAGCTCACACATCTCATGGTCTTTCCTTACCTTCCTCCCATCCAAGTCCTGGAGCAAATACGGAAGTGATGGCACCTGAGGTCAGATGTATGTCATGTGTGCCTGGATTTGGGTCACAAGGAAAGAGAAGTCAGCCAATACCTCATTATCCTCCTTCCTTCCATCACAGGAATTTACCAAAAACACCCAGCACTTCCAGTTTCAGAATTACGGGTGAAGCAAGGGCCTTCCCTGGAATAACCTGTAATTGTCCTGCCCTTGCTAGCCCTGAACAGATTGAATGTCCACCTTCCACCACCATGTGCATTCTCCTGTCATTATTCTGAGCATATACAGCTGTCCCTTGGATAGCTTTCTAGGTCTTGTTCATTTTCCTACAATCACTAGAGCAAGTAGGTTCCCTGTGTTCAGCATGTTATGAGAACAAGATTATGACTGTTTCTACATTAATGGCTGACATTTAATAATACATATAAATACCATACATAATGTGGATCACAACATATTGTGGCTGACTCTGAGAAGAATGGGAATCCCAGAACACTTGATTGTGCTTATGTTCAAAACCTCTACTTGGACCAGGGGGCAGTCATTAGAACAGGGCAAGAAAACACTGCATGGTTCAAAATTGGGAAAGGTGTATGACAGGGATGTGTCCTATCTCCGTATTTTTTATTTTTTTTAAAATTCTTTCTAAAAAAAATTCTTTCTCTCTCTCTCTCTTTCTTTTTTAACCTTTTAAATCTATATATTGTTATCACAAGAGTCCACAATTAAGGTTGCATAGTGGAATGTACTTGGGGCAGTGGGAGGGATGCGGGGGATTGTGTACCAGGGAGGGAGTGTTTCTTTTACTTTTCAAAGAGAGGAGCGAACTGGGGGGCAGGGGAGGGGGAGGGCTGGGCGGGGGAGAAATGCAGCAATGAATGAATGGAAGCCAAAATCTCTGTAAATGCTCATTAAAATTATTTTAAAAAAAGAATAGTTTTAGGGAGCTCTGATGGCCTCTTGGATCATTCAAGATTTTGGCTATAGCTTTTCTCAGTATTGAGCAACTTGAAGCTTGAATTTGGGTTTTTTGGGCTTTTTTAGCTTGAGAAATGCTGAGCAAGTACTTCTCTTTTTATTCTCTGACTCCAGCTCTTTGCACATTCCATCACAATACTTGGCTTTCTCATCTAGAGCTGCCCTATGAAATCTTCTGTCCATCTCTTTTATTTAACCATCACTTCTCTTTATTTTGGCTTCTGGATGCTCTCATGCAATATTCATAGCTTCTTCTGACATCTGTTTTTTTTTCCTTTCTCCTCTGTCTTTGTAATTAAATTTATACAGAGATATAAATCATTATGATGGTGACCACAGAAGATAAATATACATGCCTAAACCAATTACTAACAAGAGGATATGATCACTATGATTAGATCAATCATGCTTGACTGCTCATGGCTAGGAGCAGACACCTCAAAGATATATGAAGGATAGGTACCTAAACAAAACCAGTTATTAGTAAAGCAAATTTGGAATGTCAAGTTGTGATTAGAAAGAAAAATTATTTCTTTGTGTGAGCAGCTACAAGAATCTGCTAGGACTTTTTGCTTTCATTAGTCTGCACTAACTCTAAGTCTAATAAATGTTACACCAAACCCTGTAAAAGCCAGAACGTGTAGAAACCCGTCAGAGAATGAAAATGTAAATATTTTCCATCTCAAGGAGAGAAAGAAAAGTGGTAAAGCTGCACCCAGTCAAAGGCAGAAAAATTGCAAGACTTGGAAAAACAATGCCATTGAGTTCCATCTCTCACAGATTTCATTTATATAGTTATAGGGGCAGTTCCTTTTTCCTGACAGTATCATTGCAGGACTTCAACCCTTCCACTTGGAAACCAGGATTCCATTTCTTCTTTGTTTCTGTTGTTCAGGAACCTTAACCAATGTTTATTGTCCTTTTTTAAAAACAGTGAATGTAGAGCTACTAAGAACTCATAAGTTGAAATTGTACTGCTTTAATGCCAAAATTAGTCAAATCTACCTATTGTACTATCCATCTATCAGCTTCTATTTTCAGAGAATTTCAAGACTTGTTAACCGCATAGTAAAGTAATCAAGGAATATTTATAAATGTATTATGGCAATATTAAATTATCTAAAATGCTTAGTAGCATTATTTTGGCTAATTAGAGAAATATGCCTTTGGTCTTCTTAATTGTCACCTTTCTTGATGCTGATTGGCATGACTGTGTTTCCTCTCTTTGCAGAGCGTTGGGGGTCACGGGTTCAAGCCATGCCTCTCAAGAGTCTCAGGAATATACCTTGCACTGTGGGGACTCCCAGTTCTTTCATGCCAACAATGAGGCACCTACAGAGTCTGGGATGTTTAAAAAGGTAATGTTCTATTTCCAATATTTGGTCCTCAAGAATGCTATGAGAATTTAACTCTGTCAGACAATCCCTGACTGGTTGAAAAATACACACATAGGGGAAAAAAATGTATGTGATTTAAAAAAAATATATTTTGCATCAAAGCATGCCATGATGATGCACAATGAGTCTCCACAGACACGCTTGACTCTGTGTTGCAGGCACCTTTTACTTGTGTTCTTTCCTTTTACAGAGGTTGTGCTTTAACTGGAAGATATGTACAGTGACATGGCATCAACAGAATACATGATTCGTACTATAAAAAAGTCTTTATGCTGCTTCACATTGATGCCATTTAGTGGTATTTTCATTATATTAGCACTTACTTTTTTTATTGTGAAAAACATGTATGGGGATACAAGGGGGTAAGTGTTGGGAGCATACGAGTGAGGATGGGCAGGGATGAAATCACAGGGCTGCACAATTTGGTGGGTGCAGGGAGAGGACGGAGGAAATGAGAGAGATCCAGTGGGACCAGAAGAGACAGCGTAATGGCCAGCATAGTCCAATGGTGCTTATTTATTTTTTATTTTTTTTTAAACCAAGAAATTGTCTTACTAACTTGTGGGTTTCTCATTTGGGAATGGGGAGGAAACTCGCTGGCTTCTTCATGCTTAACAGGGGCATTGATGTGAAGGGGGAAGGGGAGCCCACTTTCATGCCTTACTGGTGGTCCTGGGTTGGCTACACACCTTGTTCACTTAGAAAATGTTTTTCTGCCCTCTGGTCTGTAAAGTGTTTGCCAAGGTGGGTCCTGTGGGGATGGCTGGCTCTACCCTGAGGCTCCATCTCCCTTTCCTTCCTTAGCTGGCAGTTATATTTTTTTTTTTTAAATCTAGATGTCTGGACATAAAGTTATGGCTCAGTTATATTTTGTAAATGAACAATTTTGCTAACATGCTGCTCCTTTAGCTGTGTCCGTTCACTTAGGCAGAGGCGGGACTCATGTACTCATGTTGTCTTAGGAAAGATATGGTGTCAGAGACATCTCCAAAGTGTTAAAGAGCAAAGATTTCAGTATAAGATATATATCACCTAAGATGTACCTGGTCCAAGCCATGGAGTTTTCAGTTGCTTCATATGCAACTGAAAGTTGGACAATGAACAAAGGAGACCAAACTGCCTTTGAATTGTGGTATTGGCAAAGGCTATTGACTATATCATGGACTTTCACAAGAACAAACAGATCTGTCTTGAGTGAAATGCCACCAGGCTGCTCTTTAGAGACAAAGAGGGTGAAACTTTATCTCCTATACTTTGGGCATATTGCCAGAAGGAGTTAGCCCTTGACAAAGTACATTGTACTGCGAAAGGTAGATGATCAGTAAAAGAAAGGAAGACCCTCAAAGAGATAAAAAGAGACATTGGATTGACACAGTGACTGAAACAAAGGGCTGGAGCATGACAGGGATCATGAGGATGCTATTGGACAGGGCAAGCCTTGTATCTGTTCCTAGGTGTTTCTATGAGTGGCAGTTGACCAGCTATGTCTGTGTTAACTCATTCTTTTTGTACAGTTACTCTATGTTTCCTCTACATTTTCTTTTGGTGTTTCCTGGATCATTCAAGATTTTGACTATAATATCTCTCAGTATTGCATGCAACTCAAGGCTTGAATTTGTTTTAAGTTCTGTCAGCCTGAGAAATGCTGAGTGAGTTATTCCCTTTTTATGATGCAATTGAAAATACTATGACCTGAGTCAGGTTCATCTTGGTCTTTTAAGTGACATTTCTGGTCTTTATACTTTGAAGAGGTCTTTGGTAGGTCATTATGCCTAGGTCACTATATATTTTATGCCTACGTCAGTAATTTCTTTTCTACTTCAATGGATGTTAAATGATGACATTATTATTTTATACTTTATTTTAACATGACAAAAATAGAGTAGAATGCTCAATTCATTATAATTTAAAATAGCCGTATATAAAGGGGTAAGGACAGGTGGAGGGAAATAACAGGGTAGTACAATTTGGTGGGATGGGAGGAGGTAAAGGAAATGGATCTGTCAGGGACCTGAAAAGATGTGTATGGGTGGGCATAGTCCAATGGTGATTAATGTTATAAAACACTATGTATGGGAAGTATTGCATGAAGCATAATGTTGATGAAGGAAAGTGTGTGTGTGTGTGTGTGTGTGTGAGAGAGAGAGAGAGAGAGAGAGACTGCATTAAAAAATAGCAGTATCCATTAGAGGAGTAGAAAAAGAAATTTAATGTAAAATGTTGAAATAGGAAATAAAATTTAAATTAACAAAATAACTCTAATCTTTTGTGTATTTGTTTTCAGATTGACTTCATATTCTGTGTTCTTATTTTTTACAAGAAGTAGTTTATAACTTGATGCAAAATAAGATGAACTTATAATGACTCTTGTTTCCGATATTTATCCTATAATACTTATTATGCCTTTTATCATTTAAAAGAAAATTCACTAAGTGCAATGCAATTTAATGTATAAGGCTGTTTGCTGAAGTCTGGGAAACACTTTGTGACAGAAATTAGATCAGATCAGAGAAGAAATTGCCTGAGTGAGGTGGTAAACAAGGGTCTGCAGCACCACCCTACGGCCCACACTCCTGGCAGAAGTCTATCAATGGTGTCCTTTTTTGTAGTGTGAATGACCTATCTAGGCATGGACTTTCAGCCCTTGGTCTCTTTTGGGGCTATTGTCAAAGAACTCTGGGTACTGGAGAGGCTTCCAGGGAGGCTTAACGCCAGCCGAGAGGTCAATACTTTGGGGCCTGCCAGGAAGAAGTAGGCCGTGTACACGGGAAAGGCAAAGAATTGGAGCCAGAGAGATAAATTGAGGTTTCAGGGTAGGAGTGGAGTCGGAGTGGATAAAAGGGCAGAAGCTTGAAAGTAGGGCACAAGCAGAGCTAGAACGTTGTTCTGGTTACACTCTCTCCAAGTGTCACATGAAATAGGGTCAACCAGGCATGATCTCGTTTCTATGCTGTGCCATGATTTCCCCGCAGAGATGGTCACCATACTTAGACCAGGAAGAGCAGTTCCCAGATGCGATTTTGTATTTGCCTACTGTTTTTCTTCCCTAGCGCTCTCTCTTTCTCTACCCTCCTTTTAACTTTATTGTAGTAAAATACATACAGCAAAAATGTTTAATTTTAACCTTCTTTAAAGTACACACATTAGTGACATTTGTGTTGTGCTACTATCACCACTGTCCATTTCCAAAAGTTTTCACCATGCCAAACATAAGTTTAGTACATTTGTAAGATTATTTGCCATTCCCTTCCCCCTCCCATACCTGGTAACCATGAATACACCTTTGTCTCTATGCATTTTCTATTAAAAATATGACCAGGGAGGATAGAAGGAGAATTGACGCCTTTGAGCTGTGGTGCTGGAGAAGAGCATTGAATGTACCATGGACTGCCAAGAAAACAAACAGATTCATCCTAGAGAGGGTTAAACCAGGCTGCTCCTTGGAGGCAAGGCTTCTGGGTCTTCGTCTGACATACTTTGGACATGTTGTAAGGAGAGACAGGTCTTTGGAGAGGGACATCATGCTTGGTAGGGTGGAGGGACAGCGCAGGAGGGGAAGACCCTCTATGAGGTGGATTGATTCAGTGACTGGGGTAATCGGGATGGGTGTGTCAGAGGCAATGAAATTGGCACGGGATAGAGCACGGTTTAGGGCTGTTGTACATAGGGTCGCTATGAGTCGCAAACAACTCGACGGCACATAACAACAACAACAACAACAATATTTGCATTATTCATTTAGCATAATGTGTCAATGTTTATTCATGTTCTAGCATGTCATTCCTTTTTTATAGCTGAATAGTACTTCATTGTGTGGATATACTAAGTTTTGTTTATGCAATAATTTATTGATGAATATTTGAGTTATTTCCTCTTTTAGCTATTGTTAATAATTCTTGAGGAACATCATCAGTGTAAACATCTCTCTTTTTCTCCAAACTTCTTTCTCGCTTGCTCACTTTTGGTCTCTTTTGTTCTCTATGTCTTAATCTTTCTCTCACGATTTTCACTTCTTACTAATAGCTGTGAAAACCAGGCCAGGTGCTGACTGTGGGACAGACCACCAACTACTCATACGTGAGTTCAAGCTAAAGTTCAGGAAAATGAAATCAAATCCACAGGAATAAAAATTTGACCTTAAGTCTGTCCCACTTGAATTTCAAAACCATCTCAGGAACAGGTTTGAGGCTTTAAGCACCAATGAGCATAGATCAAATGAGCTCTGGGAGGATATAAAGAAAATTATCTATGAAAAATGCAAAAGATCATTACAAAGGCTGAAGAAAAAGAAAAGACCAAGATGGATGACAGATGAGACTCTGAATATTGCATTAGAGCGTCGAGAAGCCAAAGCTAAAGGAAGAAACCAAGAAATCAAAGAGCTAAACAGAAAATTTCAAGAGGTAGCCCGGGACGACAAAGCAAGATACTATAATGAAATGTGCAGAGAGCTGGAGTCAGAAAATCAAAAGGGCAAAACTCGCTCAGTGTTTCTTAAACTGAAGGATCTGAAAAACAAATTCAAGCCACGGGTGGCAATACTTAAGGATACTTTGGGTAGAATGTCAAATGATCCAGGAAGTATCAAGAGAAGATGGAAGGAATACACAGAGTCACTGTATCAGAAGGAATTGATTGACACAGAAGAATTTCATGAAATAACATATAAGCAAGAGCCTGTGGTGATAAAGGAGGAAATTCAAGTTGCTCTGAAAAAATTGGCAAAAAAACAAGGCTCCAGAAGTTGACGGCATACCAACTGACATATTTCAACAAACAGATGCTGCCCTTGATGTGCTCACTAAGTTGTGCCAAGAAATCTGGAGGACAGCCAGCTGGTCAACTGACTGGAAAAAAAAAATCTGTATTTGTTCCCATTCCAGAGAAAGGTGACCCAACAGAGTGCTGAAATTATCAAACAATATCATTAATATCACATACAAACAAGATTCTGCTGAAAA